CTTTAAGTAACAATGCGCGCAAAAAGCAGGCAACTTTCTATTGTTCTGCGGCAATTGCAACTTCCCCACATACGAATGTCTTGGTTTTCACACTGATTATATATCAACCTATGGGTAACAGTTTTTTAAAATAAAATGTGAATAAACTCTGTTTTGAAACAAAGTTTCTTTTGTATTAAAAGATCTTGTCCAATCAGAAGCACTCAAAACAATAGCCAAAAGAAGCTTCTAATTTGCTATGTCCCCCACATAGAATTGCTATTAATATTAAAGCTAAGGAAAGCTTTTATGAAGTCGGAATCAGATATTAAATAAAATATTAAAAAATGCGATTACTTTTGAAATTTTGTCAAATTTCAATGTTTTAACCAATGAGATGGATGGATTATACAATACAAAATTAGCACATTAATGCATTCCCTGCTTCTTACTCGGACCATTACTTAAAAGACCTAATGCCTTACTTGAGAGCATAATAAAGTGCCTGTAGGTAGTCATAAGGTCTCGCTGCTGCCTCCATGCTGTGTCTAGGTATCGTTGAATGAGAGACAAACCTTCTGTAACATAGTCCTATACAAACAATAGAACATACTTAATCAAACTATTTTTAACAACCTAAAAATTACGATATGGTAACATATGGTAAAATTACGATAAACTGGTTGAATCTGAGGCATTCGAGTTAGGAAACAGTTGAAAGAAAGGAGAAAGTGGAGACCATAAAACCTTATGTAGCGTTTGATGGACACTGCCGGGTATCAGGGTATACAATCTCCCTATCGGGTTTTATGTTTGTTTTACCTTCTGAATAATGTTGACAAATCCTTCATTTCTGTACTTCCTTAAAAGCTCCAGTATAAAAGTGTCCCTCCACGATAAAGGTCTAGAATCGAAAAACATTGCCAAYACGTTATTTCAGCTCAACTCTRCGRATAACTTATTGMACAGGCATTACATTGTYGTACAATATMGGTAGATTACCTTTGTGATCCCAGYTTCTTGTAGGCCTGGTACCGAACGTTCATTACCCAGAATACCTTCTGATGGACTGCGTTTTCCTCGGCCATAAATCTAAGAAGCGCCTCTAAATAAGCTACAAAATGAAAGTCCGTCAGTGCCAGTCGGAAAAAAGTATAATATACATTGGTATTCAAAGATTTACTGCGTACCTGGATGGGTTCGTTTCAAGATAAAATCATCTGGAATGAGAACACCGCCATATTGGAAAATAGCTGTATAAGCACGCGTTTTCTTGGCCACATCTAAAAACAAATATGATAATCAATACTCCAAGTCTCCTGTTCTGGTTTCTCCGTTTTTGAATTGAAATTTTGTAATACATTCTTTTATTTCAGTTGAAGCATGTGGAAGCGTACAGACCCGTCTACACTGGCGATTTTTGCTTCAATTTTTCGGGCGATTTTCAAATTTAATATATTTTGTCTGGYCCTTCTGAGGAGACGTTTAGTAATCTCTTCTCAATGTACTGAATAAAAGTTTTTAAAATTCTTTAACCAATAAACGATAGCTTGAAGCAGGTTTACTGGCGAAATAAACCGCGTGGGATGGTTGGGAGAACACGAGAGAAAAGGTATTTTCGAGTGTTCTTCCAACCATCCCAAGCAGTTTATTTCACCAGTAGTGTCCGCCATTTAGTGTGCTTTCCATTTGTCAGAACTGGCTGGCAAGACCCAGAGAAAATGTCATTATATATCATTCCCATTTAGTTAGGAAATTCAAATTTTCAAATTATTCTACAGAAAACCTCGAAATGACTGAAAAATGTTGACAAAAAGCATTATATACCTCTAAATAGAGTGGACTGGCCGGCCAGTTCTGCCTAAATGGAAAGCACCCTTAGACTAAAAAGTCTTTCAAGAAAGCAGGCTGGTTTACCGGCGAAATAAACCATAGTTTTTCATTGTTATTCAGATTTTTAATCCCCTTGGAGATTAATAAAACAATTGGCACTAATTGCATCACAAAAGAAAGTTGACAAAGCATTCTGGTAGTTGTTGTAAATGACGCCATAATGCATATCGCCTATAGACTTCTGAACCTTTTACGTCACTACTTGATTTTCAATGCATTGTGGTATCAGTTTCAAGAGAAGACAAAAGAAATCCGCCATGTTTTGTCCCAAACATGCCCTACAATGCATTGCGTATACGGTACATGACGTAAAAGCTTCAGAGGTCTATTATATAAGTTGTACATACCTTCTACTGTATTAAAGAGAGCAAATTTGACGTTCTTCAGGCATTTTARTTTGGATAAGTTATTAATTCTACGATAAATCCAGACACATTCATTAGTGAATCTATAATACCACCTTTTAAAATGCTCACTAAACAATTAAAATTAAAGTATCTTATTATGCTTTTTGTAAAAGAGTTTCAGTTGTACTTTGACTTACTTGTGAAGAGCTGATTTATGTTTGCCCCGTATCAGTACTCTTATCCCTCCCTTGACGGCTTTCAGCTTGTCTGCATTGAAGTCTCTCACATCGAAATACTGGGATCCWGTCTTAAGCATGTAAGTCTAGAACGACAATCGGAAGAAAGAGCCAACATACTGTTATCAAGGATACTTGAAACATCTTGTTCAAAAAAAACACTAAGGTGACTTTTTTTACTAAGCAAGACGAGGCAGGTGGCTCAGACATCCTTCAAGCTGTTGGGATGACCTTTTCGTCAAGTCACATGTGAAAATCACTGGCCTTCAAGCTGTTGGAATGTCCTTTTCGGCTAGTCACATGTGAAAATCACTGGACATTTCAATCTGGATGCGTTTAGACGGGTAAATCCACAACTATTGAAATTTCGCAGATTTAAAAAGCATCCAAATACGCATCAAAGGTGGGGGACGTAGAATATAGATGATGAAGTTCCCCGACCACTAACAACAGCTTGAAAATAGTCGATCAACTGTTAACAGAACCATTGCATCTAGATCGTTTAACTCACCTTAACAGCTTTACATTCGCTGTCATTCTCAGGTTCGTAGACATAGAAGTAGGACTGTACTCTTGAAGCCTGTTGGGCATATGCTGGTTCAACTACATAAAAAAATAACAATGAATAACGAAAAACATTTGACGCGACCAAAAGCCACCCAACATCGACAAGTCATCAAAACAATTCAAGCTTGACCAAAAGTCTTCAGCTTTGATGCTTAATCCAACAACTCTTAACAATGACGATGGTTTTGTGTGACCAGATATTTCACATCAATTGAGACAGCATTGGGATTTTTCATAACAYTTAATACAATACAGTGATACAGGGAAAGTTAAAAACTTTAATAGCAACCGAACAATACGGTCATACATTTTCTGCAAAAATCTACTATTTTTACCACTCAATACGCCCACCCACGTATTACGGTGTACTGGAAAAAACGCGCACTTTAAAAGGATATAATTGTGATTAAAATAATATGTAAGTGTCCAAAATGATGTAAATTTGATGTAAATAATTTAAAAAAAAATCTACATCACACTTACATAATATTTTCATCAAATTTACAACCTTTTAAAGTGCGCAATTTTTTCCCAGTACAAGTGTTTTCATTATCACACCGCCGTTATGTTCGCTACATTCTCACCTTTATCGAAATTTGTATCTTTTTCTTCAAGTCCACCTGATGTCTGGTGAATAGCATTATCAGTATTATTTTCTGTATCGCGAAGTCTGCGATTTAAACGTGGATCGCGATTCTTGGAAATCATACTCGTAATATTAACGCTGTCTTTATTAGGTGAATCACTGGTCATTTCATCGTCCTCGTCTCTTAAACTTTGCATCTCACTGGATAACTGAAAGCGGCCAACTAAATCGGCATTCGAGTCATTATCGTGACTTTGCATTTGTAGTAAATTTCGAAAATTTGGGGGAAACCTGCTAAGTCCTTCACACACGATATTATCGAGCTGTAGGGTAGTTTTTTCTTTATCTTCTTTCACAATATCATCTAGATATTGATAATCCCGTTCGTTATAATCACCAGAAGTTATATTTTCGTCTTCTGATGTAAAATCATTTTTATATCTTGTACCACGCCGGCTCGAGGAACACGCATCACTTTTACTTCCCTGGTCATATTTTTGTCGATTCGAAGGGCGTGAACAATCCGCATTTCCAGAGTTGTATTTGTCTGGATTGGATCGACGTGTGTCTCGCGCGCGATATTCATCTTCAGATTTGTAATTAGGTCGACTGGATTGGGACGCATCTCGTGCATCGTCTCCGTCTTTAGAGTTATGCTCTTGTCTGCTGGATGACCGGCTTTCTCTCGCATAATCTTTATCATTAAAGTTATGAGTCTGTCGGCTGGAAGGGCGCGAGTCTCGTATTCGATCTTCATCGTCCGAGTTATGAGCTTGTCGGCTGGATGGTCGACTGTCTCGCATACGACCTTCATCATCCAAATTATGCGATTGCCGGCTGGATGGTCGACTGTCTCTCCCATAATCTTTATCATCAAAGTTATGAGCTTGTCGACTAGAAGAGCGCGAGTCTCGCATACGATTTTCGTCTTCCAAATTATGCGCTTTTCGGCTGGATGGGCGACTGTCTCGTACATAATCTTCATTTCTCTCGCTATAATAGTCTCGATAAGATCGGCGAGTGCTTCTCATGTTGTCTTTAGCTCCCGAGTTATGATAATCTCGACTTGACGGAGACATGCTTCGGTCATAGTCAGTTTTGTCTCCAGAATTGTAATTTTCCCGATCGGATTGGCGAGCATTTCGCATGAAATCTTCATTTTCTGAGAAAAAATTTTCTCGAAGTTTGCTATCTTCTGAGTGATACGCATGCCGGCTAGGCAAACGCGCTACACCCAAAGGATCTTCGTCATCTGAACTATAAGTATATTGGTTTGACAAGTGCGTGTTCTGGCCTAAGCCGCAATACCGTTGATCAAAAGTTTCATATTCTTCATCATAATCACGGTAACGAGGTTTGTTGTCTGAAAAATAATCTCCCTCATCAAGGTAGGAAGCTTCCTCGGGATCATATTCATCAACACATTGCTGTASCCTCTCCTCGTCATCGCTTTCTGGCCTGTTTGCATATTCTGGGTATTCACCAACGGTAACAATCCGTCGGTCTGATTGATATTGCTTGTCCTCGTACTCTGGTGTACTTGAGGGCCCACGCCCTTCAAACCGATCAGGTTCAACATCCGAAGTAACAGGGCTGCAAGGCGACTTAACGTCTTCGTAAGGACTCCGTGGCATGAAATAACAATCTTGGTCGTTATCACGCAATATATCGACTCTTGTAGAAGGGCAAGTGTAAACATCAACGTAATCTGTACAAGTAACATTTTTATCATAAGCTGATAAGATTAAATCGTCAGTTGTGCCGAAAAACGGTCTTCTTAATTCCATGTAGGACGGCGACTCATAACCAGAACCGTCGCCAATGTCTGAGCTGCCTGACACTAAATAACCTGTTGAAAAAAGAAACAAAAATATTATTAAAAGKTTTTTTTAACAAAACATCAGGAACATTAACATCGGCCTTTTCTAGTGGAACAATCACWACGATCAACAATGTTTCAATGGTCTTTTCCCCTTGTGCCGCTCGGAAGAGAATTRCAAAAGAATATCAATTTTAAGTTTTGTTGTGGTGAATTAAGCTGTTTTGAGAACAAACATTTCGGARTGCTCTGTGMTGTTCAGACATCGTATTGAATGTTATTCAAAATTATCAGCARCAAMAACTTATTTTTCTCAGATACATCGTCGTAGTTAAAACAAAAAATCTTGATATWTTTATCATGATGCACTTCGTCATATCAATATGACGTCACAAGAGCAAAGGATCATTGAMAATAGTGCTTGGCCGAAAACCTGATCTACCCTTACTACACCTGCCTTCGCCGCGCGAGTCAACACGAGGTTCTTCAGTGGGGTGGTTTTCAGATGCTGTGTTTTGCTGACCTTGATAAGGTTCACTAATTGGTCTAGGATTGCTATAGTATGGAGGCTGGATATGCCTTTCATTAGCTACTTCATAATACTCCATGTCGTTACTTCTTATTTCATAACGTGGGATATCTGGATGGACACTGGTTTGCTTGACGGATTCATACAGATCACTATCCACTGAAACCGGAAAAAAATTACACTTCATCAGAATTTCCATCTACCGTTTTTGTGCAGGGAAATTCGAATCAATCATACATAGCGCTGACTACTTTAAAAATTAGTACACAAACAACTGTGTTGTAGGAGAATATGTTGAAGGAAAATATCGCAACAGACCCGATAAATCCTTATTCATCGGAGGAAATGAAAACAATTCTTTGGAGAGGATAACTTTATCCACCCTTCGTACACCCGTCCCATTTCTATATTGAAAGTTAGACTAAGAATGAGAAACAATAGCGAGACACCRGWGTGTACACAAAGAAAACACCTATACATCTTGATAATTGATTAAAAAAAGAGAAGAATTCGGAAGAGTGTGCAAAACAACGTCACTTTCGTGACCTTGCAGTTCCTCAATTCAAGGATCTCTATAGCGACACTTTTCGGCGAACTTTCCAAGAGCGTGTTGTGTATTTGCACATCCATAAGAAACCTGCTCTAATGACAATTAGTAAAGCACTATTCAAAGAGCAATAATAACCATACCGTGCGTTTCCAGATACCCCAATGTACCATACGGCAACGCAGCATTGTCTGCAACAGTTAAGCCGGTCGACCAATACCCAATATCAGCATGTAGAAAGTCAGTGGCGGGCAATGCTGTTTCGGGAGTGCCTGGACTGTCAATCCTCCCTATTTCAGGAGGACTTCTAGGCATTGCCATGCCACCAAGTCCACGACTATCCAATGGCAAAGTAGCACCTCTTAACGGGCTGTTTATAGATTGGTAGGTACCATCATTAGCGTATTCAAAGCTTACAGGAGAGGTGATGGGAGATATCGACATGTTGGAGCCACTGTCGTTGTCCTCCATTCTGTCATGCATACCTAGTTAATAAATTTATGTATACATTAAGAGACTACACCACTTACTCAAAGTTTTTCTTATAATCGAAATATATTCTACTGCCTGGACTGATAATGTTCAGTTTCATTCGCTTTATTTTTGTTCTGACTTCGTTGGATGTTTAGTTCGAATTCAATATTACTGACCCACGAGGATCAGAACGATGGGTACGATGATAGTGCGACCTATGCATGGATCTCTTACCTGTTCTGTAATCTTTCTGTTGCATTTCTATTCTTCGTCTCTTTTTCTCTCTTCCCCAATCGTCAGGAGAAGTACTTTTTGAATCGTGTCGATTAGAATCTCGGAATGTCATTCTGGATGGACTTCGTAAAGGACTTCGAGCTTTCTTTTGAGGGCTCTTTTCACGATCAGAAAGACTTCGCATATCGTTAAGCCGTTTTCCATGTTCATCTCGTAGTAGAAGTTTGTGTTTTGGGAGGGTATCAGTTCGTGACATGGATCTGGGAGGGTCTTTTTGTTCAGCACGTGCATCATCTACAATGTAAAGACAKGGGAATAGTTATAGCGTAGTAAGCGCCGATACAGTTTTACCATCATTTGATTATATTTAAAAACGAGACTTGRACTTGACACAGTTTTCGAGAAGCTGGAAACAGTTTTCCATACGCCTTAACTGTGTAGCAAGACTTCAAAGKTTGATTATCCCAGCGAGTTTTCGCAATTTAAAGAAATTGCCCAAACAAGTGAGACTAGTAGCCCTTAGCATGTAATCTTTTATGCAAACTTTGAAGCCAAGAAAAACTGTACAGTTTTACAGACGCAAGTTAGTTGGCAACATTTTTTTTTATTTTTTTGGTCAAGGATGACAGAGAAACTGTCAAATGTAGCAGTTCACAGTTGCCCAAAATCATAATACCCAAAGAAGAGTCGGTTGTATTAAAACCGTTTTCACCCAGTTGAAATGGGGTTATGRCATGACAGTCATACCAACCTGGTTCGGTGTAGTCCTCAGGAAGTTCTGTGTCTGATATATCACTGGTTATCTTATCATCTGGAAGCTCTTCATCGGATATATCACTTGTCATATCATCGTAACCACAAGTTCGTTCCTGTGATTTTCGTTTAACAGTTACTATCCGTCTTCGTTTTCTCGGTGCGCCGTTTTCGCTGTTACGACTGCCGTTTGCATCTTTGTCTCTATTCGCTATGGTCTTCTTACAGGATGACACAATGGTGTCTTCCGATGACTCAGTWTTAGCATCAGGGGAGGCTTGGCCTTTTTCAGCGGATAACAATTTGTCAATAAGGTCGAGGCCACTTCTCAGTTCTGGACTAGATGTACATGTGGTGTTCAGTGTTTTTGCTGTATTTGAAGCCAAAGAAGACGTGTTTTGTTCCTTTTGTTTCTGTCTGTATTCGTTCAGGGAAACAACTTTCACGGAGCTCTCTTGAAATTGAGCAATTGGTGTGCTTGAAACATCATTAAAAACTGTAAGGTCTGTCTTGGACTGATCAATGACCTTTTCTTGCTTTGCCTCGGATTGATRCTTTGTTGATTTAAGGATAGACTTTACTTCGCGATGTCCGGAGTCTGGAAAGCTCACATTTTCAGGTAAGGTGTTAGCATCTGCCTGAGCCTGTGCGCTTTGTTTGAGTATAGCCATAACTTTCTCCTTCGCCTCTACTGAGGCAGCTTGCTCTGCCACAGTGACCGTTCTAGGTATTTCCTGAATGGTGCAGTGGCTTGTCACATTTTCAGATGATTCATTCTGCGAGATCTTTTTGACAAGAGGAATTGACTGAGGATTAATAATTGGTGATGGTGCAATTGCTTTTGTGTCAACAGCTAGTGGTGATGTAGAATGGCCCTTGACGTGATCTATATTGCCATGACGTCCTTTGGCTATTGATAAGACCTGTTTGTCCTTGATTAAATTGAAAACAGGGCTACCAGGTGGTTCTAAGCCAGGGATAAGCATGCTTTTTCTTTCAACAGAAGGTGGAGATGGCCATGTACCTGAGGATGAAGAACTTTCTTGTGGTTTGCCACTTTTTGACGTGGAGACACCTGATGTATTATTCTTAGATGGCCATGCCGACAATAACGACTCYAACGCTTCAGACAAAGATGACGATTGCTTGGTGGATGCATCTGGTGTACTAGGTACAGGTGATTGAATTAGAAAAGGGCTGATGGTAGCTGGAAGAGGTGGCAAGGGTGGAGTGTTGCTTGGAGGAAGAGGTGGCAAAGGTGGGCTGGTTAGAGGAAGCGGTGGTGGCAAGGGCGGAGCTGGAATTGACGGATGCTTGCAACTATCTGGAATGTCTTTTACTTCCTTTATCATGCTAGCATCTGTACTTGCCATCTGTTCCTCGGAAGGCCTTGGGTCTACTGATGGTAAAGACACTTTTTTTGAAAATACAACAGATAGACTACTGTCTTTTTTGTACGACTCAATCAATTTCTGTATGCTTGCTAGGTCAATGGATGCATCTGTRTCCAAAGATGATGACCTCTTCAGATTTCCTCTATTTTGACCTTTACTATSAGAGTCTTTGCTGCTATCCCCTTGTTGCCGTTGACCAGACTCTGGTTTACAAGATTCGGATCTGGCATCATATGCCTCTTGCCGTTTGGTTTTGATCTCTCTATTCAAACAACTCTTATCACTTTCATTGCCCAATGATGACAGATCATTTGATYCATTTTGATTAAACCACTTATATCTACTAATACTACTGCTGTTATTATAGGCATTACTTGTAGATGACTCATGCCCTAAATGATCATTCCCAGCCCAAGATTCGCTTCTATGCACTTTAACTTTCGAATTTTCACTCTTGGTACTCTCCTTGCGTTTTCCGTCGGATGTTTTCCTGGATTCCTTTTCTTTCAATGAATCACTAACAGAAATGAACCTGGGTTCATCAACACTTTTCTTTGGATTTACAACAAACTTCTTAGTAAATAGAGATGGCGGTTGAGCTTTTTTCTTTGGCTTGATATTCAGCTTCTCTTTGAGAATTTCCTGAACTCGTGAGCTGATACTTTCTTCACTGGAGGACGAACCACTCATCTCAGTCGGTTGTGGGTTATCTGTGCAGAAAGAAAAGCAATCTGATCTATTTATCTCTTGTTAGAGAAAAACGTTTCAAGATGCGGACTAACAGGTAATTTATATTATTGGCCATTTCAACATTTTCGATGAAATCATTTGACTCTAGAAAATCAATTGTGAAACCAAAACACAATGGACAATAAAACGTGCTTCTGGATGATGTGAATTGGTTACAAATRTGCCATAACCAACTAAGTAAAATTTATGGCATTTACCTTGACTGCCTGGAAAAGGACATATTCGCTTTAAATGAACCAAGACATGAAGAGACGTAGTACTTTTCTCATCTGTGATACCTACAAAAGATTTCCATAATATACAAATATAAGAATGATGTTTTCCAGATTTAATTCTGCACAGTCATTTGGTATCCGGATAGAAATGCTTCTGTACAATTCAATCTTTCCCAATTGAGCAAAAATGTATTATTATAATTAAATTGATTACCTGCATCATGAGTTAGCTGTGAAGTTGGCAATATATACATATAAGCAACACCTGCAATGTATTCCATGACTGCACCCTGAAACATTGAATATAATGTTAAGAAATTTAAGTCAAGTCACATAAATATATTTAAGTGTCTCTACTTACTACATTTTCTGCTTTAAAGTATKCCATTATCTTGTTAAACCTTTCTCTTTCTTGATATATTGGCTGTACTTCATAGTAAGTGAACATGCCACCACTACTGAATTCTATATAAAAAAACTTATATATGAGCTTGGAGGATATGGAACATTTTGGYTTCTTTTGGAAAATGTTTAAAAAGAAATAACATTATCAGTTTCAGTAAATCTTACCCTTACTAACTCCAGTTGCAGAAGGYTTTCCATTCTTAAAGATGGGGCACTTAAACACAGATTTCAGATGGTCAAGTGAAATCTTGCTGCAGATATTGATTTTTTGATCCCTGTAAAAAAATGTTGTGCTTTAGATTYAAATTTTAGACACAAGATAGAAAGTTACAATATACAGTGAACTAAAAAGTAGCCTTTTATGCACAGAAAAGATATTCTTACTCATGAACATTATAATGAAAATTATCCTACAGTGTATTTCTTGTCTTTATATATACTAAATAACAGATGAGTATGGTCTTGTTCAGACTATATAAAAAAGTATTAAAGTGGAAATGCACTATATGTAACACACACATAAGTTTGCTTCTATTTTCATTCGTTTTATATTGCTCTGAGAGAAATCCTTAATGATCACTTTTTTTGCAAAACTGATGATAATCRAAATATCACTTCTACYAAAAATGGTGTTTATAAAATAAAAAGAATGCTGCATGGGTTCTTAGGGATATGTATTTTATCTTTTAATGTGCTCAAATTGATAATAACTGCACACTCAAAGATAACATACATATCATTGCTTGCCCAGCATGTAACATGGATACATTGCTATCTTAGTCAGCCAGTTAGACAGACACTTTTCTGTCTTAGTAAGTTAACCAGACACTTTGCCATCTAAGTCAGCCAGACAGATAATATTTGAATCTGAGGTATCATGTTCAAATATGCCAACTTGCTCTTTTGATTACAGCAAAGAACATTACTGGAGTTTTCAGGTCATAAAGATTTAGTTCTCTGTCAAAGGCAACTTAAAGTTGGAATGAACATATAATATCAACCRTTTCCAATCAGACAAAGAACAAGAAATCTCAAATATGCCAGCTCAGTAGAGTTCATTCACAGCCATACTTACACATAACTTGGAAGAAACAGTTTCTTCATTGAGTAGGTGACTAAATTTATGAAGCCAATAAATTTATTTTTATAAAACAGCTGCCCTGTCCATGACACAGTGGACGCACTGATGAGAGTATCATTAACGTCTGTARCAAAAACAGAGCAAAATAACTAAGTCCAGCTAAGTCTAGCTAAAAATGACATATTGCATGAAGAATCTTTATGAAGGGAGAAGAACAAAATAAGAACTACAAAAAACTTGACATCTATAGTACTTTATGATATTACCTTCAGAGAGAGGAGATAAAACTGGGTTATCACTCATTCTGGAAACATTATCTTTGTTCTTTGCCTGAGTAAAAGAATGGATATGAAGGTGTTTGAAAATCTACAATTTAGCCAGCCTTTAGAATCATGTTTGAGAATTTGAATTCGTAAAAACAACATTTTGTTCTTAAATGATAGCAAATAGAATATGAGTTAGCTGTACTTTATTGGTAACATTAATGATTGTGAACTGGTATTACCTCCTCTATGCCAGACCTTGGTTGGGGAACCTCTGGTTTGATAATGGAGAATGTCAGTACAGCATAAGGAAGAACTTGTCTTGGTTGTTTRGCATGGAAGTCTTCGCTATTTTCATCAATCTCATAAAAATAAAACTGCAATTTCATAAAGAAAAAAAGGTTTAGGATTTAAACAATCAAACAAAAAAAASAAGTGGTCTAACCATTGATGCCCCATATATCTCTGAATGCGTTGCAGAAGATGTTAGATTCATGAATAACTTGGACACATGGCAGTCATGATGTGGGGTTGGCTGTTGCTCTGGGTTGCCACCACTTATTCCTTTTATTCGACCCTGAAATACCAGTACAAAGAACATGAGAACTGAGAAAGTAAATTTCCAAGAAAAATATAAAAAAGTGGAAGCATTTCGGGTGAGACCAGATAYACCACTGGAAGATTATAGAAGTATGAAACTAGTGACATTGAAGATCTGACCACATGCCATGATTGAAATTTAGAATGGTTTTAATAAATAATAATACCAATCAAAATATTTATACATGTAGTATAACTTTGAATTTCTGAAATACAATAGTAACATTATCTATCAAAAGCATGGAGTGAACATTAAAAGGGATAGCAAAATCTCCCATCTCAAGATTGAGTTGGTTGACTTAACTAGTTCCAATAGTCTCATTCATGATTCCATGCACCATCTTGAAAGGTAGCCGTGCCTTTACATCGAAGCAAGACAACCGGTGAGCTTGCAATGATAAATTGGTGTAATATTAATTGTCTGTAAGTATGAAAGAAGGTTTCTATCATTGCACACTAAACAGGCATCTCACTTTGATGTAAAAGCACGGCTACCTTTCAAGATGAAGCAGGGATCTGCAAAGAAGACTATTCTGAGAAAAATAAGGAAATGCTTCACTTTCAACAAATAAAGGAATGTGATAGCAGTGGTAATGACCTCCTAAGATACAATTGGAAACATGGTAAGGAAAGAGATATCAATTTGAGTCACCTTGACAACATTAAACACGATAAGATATCCCTTGTCTTCATCATCCAACTGTCTTTTATTGACAATGTCAGCATAACGGCAAACATAAACACCTAAAGGTCAAAAATAAATGTGAGTATTACATTAAACTCATTTAGAACATTTTGCATAATAACAGCATTATATAACAACTACCAAAGTACCTCATTAATATCATTCCTAATCGAATCTTATGACAATACTTAAACAATAGAAGCTGATTAGATTAAAAAGGCAAGTAGACAACTCATTTCCTACTTAAGCTCAAATGACACATCATGTATATGGCATATTGTTAGATTAGATCAGACCTCTGCTTTTTAAAGCAGATTTTTTTTTTAAATGTGGACCTTTGCCACAATTATAATTTATTATTTGTTGCCTATACAATTCTTTGGTAATTACCAATAATATCTTTGACAATGTCCTTTCTCTGATTTGTTGAAAAGCATTTAATATTCTTCCTATATTAGTAGGTGTACTCTGACTCCATTTTAAAGCAATGACATTAAAATCCATAAAGTTTGCATGGCATATTTACAGTTATTTGGCCATCCAAGTGACTTCCATTACCTAATTTGGGATCTCCTAAGAAGTTCAAATTACAATGTCCAGTTTGAAGACCTTTCTCACATATTTCCTTGACCTGAGAGGGAAAAACAAAAATAAACACCTTTATTGGTTAGAAATTGTTGCCCACTTTATAACTCCAAATACCAACACAACAAAAAACAAAGGTAGTAGAATACATGAAGTATATCTAGGAAACAGCTACAATTTGTTGCTTAGTGTATACGTGAGGTGGTGTACCCATGACACATCGAGAAAATCTAAGAACATTTCATGAATGGAAGAAAAACGATTTTCACTTTTGTAAGAAAAATATGTACAGAGACAGAGACACTCTCTACTCCAGTTATTTCTTTTGTTTTTGTTTCAGAAAAAAAAAAGGTTAGCTGTTATTATATCTTGTTAGATAAGATAGTTATCAGGTAGCCTAACAAGAAATAACATAATTTGCTGCCTTTGTGTGGATCATACAGGAATTTTTTTGATTAAATTATTCTCACAAAATAGTTCACAATTCAAAATTTACACTAATTTGTAGCTGCTTCAAATCTCTTTGCCATGCATTCATAATAAACATTAATTAATGAGTTTTATGATTCAATAAAAGCACACTAATAAACAATAAAATTGCATTACATGATAATTATCATAACAAAGCACAGCAATTGTGTTAATTTTTAACTTTAGCCTCGACGACCTGACAAATATCTGATTATCAAAGTTTGGRTAAATTTTGACTYTATGGATACTCTAATTCAWTGAAMTGAGCATAGATTAGTATWAGTGGAAKGGCAAAAATTAAGTTAATACGAGCCCAATACAGTAGCTGTCACGAGACGTAGTTCGGCGGGTTGTTTTACCTTGCTCCTCGATGGCGTATACAAAAATCCAAACTTTTCCTCAAGTTCGCGATTTTTGGGCAGCACAATACGCATTTCTTGCTTCTTTTCTGCATACTTCAATAGATRAACAAAACAGTCAGCCACAATACTAATATAAAATTTCATATTCTTAAAAGCGAAGCAAAACGGAAGGGCAGTTGGAGTTTCAGTACGGAAATGTACCTTCTGACGAAGCTTTTCGTTGTTTACAAATTCAACTTTCTCAAATTTGAACATAGAGGATGAAAGCTGGTATCTGAAAGATTGGTTGACATGACGGAGTAATTCTCTGACCTCCCTTGAATCAAAATGCTGTGACTGAAAAAGCTCTGAAAAGCAATCAAAGCCGAATGAGCAACAACATCATAACAGAGACATTGTTGAACATAAATATCGTCACACAACAAACCTTTGACTTGCTTGTTCTTCCTAGGTATAACAAAAGGCTTTCTACTGACTTTATGTACATCCTTAGGACTTTCTCTTCTTTTAAGTGAGCTTTTTAATACATCGCAACCAGTCAAATCCTCGTGGTTGGAATCCGACTCGACAGTAGGTGAATCAGCAAAAGATTTCTTCGCATTTTCTTTATCTCTTTTCTTAGACTTGAGTGGTTTTGAGGAAGACATGATTAAGCTGCTGATTCAGCATCTTCAGAAACTGAAAGCAAGGTTTCACGAGGCTTTTCGATCCGAGAAATCTCGAGCTGACTCCGTTGCACCCACTCGACAATCCACATTCTGGCGAGCGAATGGTGAGTGGTCGGTGGCGCGCGAAAAWGTTATGACGTCATTTATGGTCTTCAAGCGACAAAAGCTACAATGATTCTGATTCTTGGATATGGTCTAAAATTATAAACAAAACGTCATGCCATCTCACTAAAATACATGCAATGTAACGAAAGGCTTCATGTGGTGGTGGTGATGAAGGGTGATAATTTAGGAGGGGGGGGGGGATATAAGTGGCGAGGGAGTTGACCTAAAAAAATAGAAAAAAATATATATAGAAACTACAAGAAAACAGAAAAATAAGATAACTCTCAAAACAATTTGCACATTTGATTGTCGCTTTTGTATTTATCATTTTCATTTTCGATTGAAGACTACTGACGTTGATGAATAGTGCAAATTCCCGCGAAAAATTTCCCGCCATTTTAGTCTAGAGCGGGCCGCGATTCTTCACTACAAATGCTGCATCCGTTCCTGACCAATACTCGGAAGTACGTCGATGGCACATGGTTTCGGTTTAGATGTCGCGGTTTAGATATCTTTTCAGCAGACTTCGTTGTGTTTCCTCTTTAAGTAAATTAGAAGACACACACGTTCCTCATTTTTGCGTGATGCTTCGCCTTTTAATTTTTTATTCAAAAGGTCTTTTGATCAGCAATGAGCATAGTCATAGTTATTTTAAATTTTTTTATTCCATTTAATCAAATTTGAAGAAAAAAAGAAATCATGAGTTTATATTGTCAACTCGGTACGCAATTAATGATACCACCATACTGACATTTGTCCCGATAAAATGTTATGGAGGAACTTCCTAGTAGAGTAAAGAAAAATTAAGTGGGCCAAACATATAAAGTGCTGGGACAACGATGACGAGGGGCAGGAGGGCCGGACTTGTACTACAATTCGCGATTTATGCAACACATCAAGAGAAAGATCAGATCAAACAGAAGTCCAATTTATTAGAAACATTTAATTTCTCATAAAAATAAAATACATGCATCCTTGAAGTAGATTGTTGCACGGTAGTAGCAATGTATATGGTTTGTCAGTGATGCTAAATCCCAAAATAAAATTCTGATCTCATTAGATTATTAGAACCAATTAAATCTGATGACTGAAACTGAGTGATCCCATTTTAGACTTCCGATCCCAAGAGATCTTGACCAATTAAAAAAAATATCTGATCCCTGATCCCATATACCTCGCAACTATTGACATTGTGCAAGTGATACAACCACAGATACAAACATGAAATAAGAAGTTCCTGGAGAACGTCTAGAAATTGGAGCTCATTTGAATCGTATGTTATGGTCACGATGATTTGCACCCATTCAACTTTGATTATATTTTGATTAGATGATTGTTTTGTTCATTAGAGGGAAATCACTTAAACGGATTAGTTCTGAACACTTCTTTTAACTATGAGCATGTTATCCTTAATTCCTACAAAKAATCTCCTAAACTTTCCCAATTCCATGTTGCTATGCYAACAGAGATGAAATAAAACGATGCTCAAATTTTCTATAAGGCGGGATGCGCGTCTTTTTCAAGAGAAATGAGCTATTTTTGTCTTATCGAGCAGGTGTTACCATTTTACTGACATCTCTATTTAAGCGCTTTATTTTCTCAGAAAATTCCCTCGAAATATTGAGGCACGTTCTCCTCCTAGGCAAAAAGGCCRTTACTTGGAAAGAATTGTCAAATGTATAACAAAGCTTTTAACTAAACTTGGAGGCTTATGGACGAACTGAATTCCTTAACGTCATATCACGTGWTAGCTAATATTCTAAAAATTTCGCAGAAGTTAAAGTACCTACTTGTATGGACCGCATTAGATTTGCATTATGTTGAACTTGTCATGGGTAAATATTTAACTATTCTACCTCAGTATTTACAGCTGTCATATTAATAACAGTTTCTTTTTAACTGTCGCTATCAAACATTTTATGTACAAGTTTTCAAAATTACTATATAGTACCCTAAATGGGATTTTTCAAGCAAACACACCAAATTGAAGACACGTTGTCATGGTCGTAGTTAACACATAAGTCGCGATTGAAGTGGAGCATGGGATACTTTAACAATGATGAAAAATAAGCAGTACGATCGCCATCTTAATAAATGCTATTGTCATTTMTAAAAAGAACCCATCTCTTTGGTCGAGAGGCGACCACGTGACGGGTTAGTGCCCACCGCGAAGGGGTACTACCAGTGCACGATGCCCTCGAATCAACTATTCTGTTGTTTATATATATTTGAAGCACTGATAGTCGCCCTAAATATCCAATAATTTTAAATCATTCAAGATGGCGGCGGTGGCGGAAACAAGACAGTTCGAACTTTATAGGAATATATATAAAAAAAAACAAATGATGGCCACTGAAGGTGAACACTCTTTTGTATTTTTTAATTAATTCCTARATGTCAAAAGTTCTATTTCATGGACGAAGTATTTGTAATTAGTCATGTACATTAATGCTATAATATATGAATAATGTTATACGTATGTTTTATAGTTCTGTGTATCTGTGATAATACTTTGAAGAGCACTAAGCCACTGTCGTTTATCGTGGTCATTAGGGGCTTGCAGCGTGTGAGACTGGCCATTATTCTGGTCTGTACATGATACTCTGAAAACGTTCTTGGCTGAGGAAGAGTAATATCGATAAGTAWGTGGAAAAACAATAAGGATAGACTCTACAAACAACCAAGGAATAACATAGTAATATCAAAAGGGAAAAAGAGTTTACCAACAATCAAAACCGAGAACTTATTAGAAGGTGATGTTTTATTMTATTATTTTATGATTTGCACAATCATTTTGTTATTTATAACAGAAACAAAGTCTGCATGGAAAAGTA